ATTTAATGCATATACTTAAACAATATGTTGGAATAAGGATCAAAATTCAATTACTAAAGTAATATTTTATAAGAAATTTAAAAAGCGAAATTTTTTGATGTTTTTTGAAAATGAGTACTTCTCTCTGAGGTACAGTTTTAATAAAAATAAATTACAAATAAATATTTTTTATTGTCCTTTATACTAATTCTTCTAAATTTATAAAAACAATTTTAATTGTTCTCGTTGGATAATCAAAGAAATTTAAATATATCAAGATGGACCCACTTAACATGTAAAATATCACAAAAATAAATAACATAGCAACATTAAATACATGTTTATTGAAATCAGCTATGTGTAGTATTCTTATTATATATCTAATATTTTTTAATAATTTATTCTTTAAAATATTTTATTTTTTTTTAATTCCAATTTGAAAATAAACAAACAGGAAGAATTTAGAAAACTTCTTTATAGCAACACCAAAGAGAAAATATCTCATAATAAATTCCACACGATCAAAAGTGCTCTAAAAAATTACTTTAAGTTCGGTATCCTTTCTCAATGATAAGACACATAATATTATATACTGGCACTTAATTAACCACAAAAGTATAATATGGTCTACCTAGATATTTGTAAAAAAACAGTTGCTGCAAAAGGGTGTGTCATATGATAAAATCGAAGTGGTGGTAATTTTGTTTTGAGAAAAGGTGCAAACGCTCGATCATAATGTCAGGAATCCAGATTATTTTAAAGGTTAATGAGATATTTTTTCTGGAGGGTATTGTTCTACAATAAATTTACTTTAAAATAATTTATTTCTCTTGTCGAGACTGATATCATGTCCTTATTGAGGAGATGTTTATTTATAGTAGTACTTTAATATCTGTCAAACGTCAAGATATTTGACAATATTGACATTAATTAAAGGGTATATCACAGTTAATGAACTCAAAATTTAGAAAAAAATAATGGAATTTTGGGAATAATTATTTACACAAAAGATTTATTCTTAAATGTGCAGATATTTCAGAGCTGTTATACAGGTAAATTAAACAAGTGTTTATGATGTTACAACTTTTGTGTTTGAAAGAGGTGCTGGCACTACTTAACTACAGCTTTAAAGGGGTAGAAAAAAATATTAAAAAGTTTTATTCGAGCAGTACAATTTTTTTAAACGTCACGTCGAACGGCTGATCGTTTCTTTTCTTAATAACTTTCTTCTAAATTTATATTTAAAAAAAGATTTCCATATTTACCTTTATTATGTCACGTTTAGTTCTTAAATAAGTTTTTATGTGACTTCATGGATTTTTAGTTTTATTGGTGTGTTAATCTAAATTATTAGTAAAGCCAACCTTGTGATTGACTATATGGTGATCACTCCCAAAATCATGCACAGTGGATCTATATCCCTTCCATCCATCCTTCTTATAGTGGTGCCTGGTTCCTGGTTAAAACACCTAAAAAAACAATTTTTTTTAATTACACTTACTTTAAAATTTTTTAACCCTTATTTTCAAAATGCTCCATACAGAAGAAGAGCTAAGAAATCTACTAAATGACTTTAAAGATTTTATTTTGCTGCAAAAACATACTAAATATAACGAAAATCTTTAGTTTTATAAAAATATAAAGGTTATTTGTTCTAATCATTTACAAAGGCACAGATATTCAGTTTTTTAAAAAACTTGTTTGCTAATAATAAAACCTCATTGATTACATTTTTTAAAATATTTGATTTGTTTTATAACTTTATGTCCATAAAATTAATAACAATAGCGAGTTTTCACGAAATCGTGTTACCGACATTGTTTATAAATTTAATAAAAGCGAAATTTTAAAATTTAACCTGAAGTCTTTCAAATTGGGAGGAAATGGAAACATAATTGAAATAGACGAAAGCAAATTCGGAAGAAGAAAGTATAATAAAGGACACCATGTTGATGGAGTATGGGTGTTTGGTGGAGTTAAACGAAATACGCGTAAAATTTTTTCTATGCCAGTTAAAAATAGAAATAAGAACATTTTGGAAAAAATATTAAGAAGACAAGTTAAACCATATAGTATAATATACTCGGACTGCTGGAAAGCTTATAGTTCAATAAGCAGTATTTTTTATACACATAGGTCAGCTAACCACTCCAAGGAATTTATAAATAAGTTAGCTAATGCCCACATCAACACTATAGAAGGCACATGGAATGCTATATAAAGAAATATTCATTTTATAAATAGGACAAAGGAACTAGTTAATGTATATTTATTACGCTTTATGTTGTGCCGAAACAATGAGAAAACGGCTCTAAAAGATTTAATTATTAATCCCTTAGCTAATAAATGTTATAAAATAAATTTTTATTGGTATGTAAAAAAAATTTTTGTTTTTAAATAAATGTAATCCTAAATCCATAGAAAATTATAATATTAATAAAATTTATAAACTAAATATAGTAAAAACTGATTTAAAAATACTCCCAAAATTGTTTTAATAAATTTTTCTTCTTTTTTTTGTTTGGCATTTGAAAATAAGGGATAAAAAATTTTAAAGTGGGTGTAATTAAAAAAAATGTTTCTTTTAAGCGCAATATCCGTGGCGCCTTCAACAACATAATTTTAAAAAAGTTCGTTTAAGCATCGTAGGTGCGGTCCTATCTGGAACAATTTTCAAAAAAATATCTCTGGTCATTTCATCTATACCTCCTAAAAGCACTGTAGTCGTTGAAAGTTCATCATGTATAGATTTTGAGTATAATATTGTCTATCCCTGCCTATTACAATTTCACTTACTTGTATACACCCTGACCTTACTATTTTACTAAAGTAGTTGTCTATTTCGTTTTTTATTTTTTTTAAAATTTCATCTTTATAAGAAATATATGTTGGTTCAGAGATCTTGCAAGTAACACACGCCATGCTATTACTCATACCCATAACCCAATAGTATATTATTCTTAACTAAATGGAAACAGGTGGGGAAACTTTTGCAGGCTTGTTTCTGTTTTAATGCTCTGCTTCTTGTAGCAGCCATTTGCACAGTAAAAACAAATTCCTTCTTTGATACGGGTACTTTTCACCTGCTTCATATAGACACTGCCATGACTCAATTCATGACAAGGATCTTTAGTAAAAAGATTTTATTAATTTTCCCTCCAAAACTTGATATTAATTATTTAAAAAATATTTAATTTTAGGATATGAATTTTGAAAAGAAACCAGAATACAATTAATACGATAAAAGAAGATTTATTAAAAACAAAATATTTAACAAGAGCCCAATAGAGCTTTATCTAAAACAACAAGACACATCTCAAAAAACATCCCACCTTGTTTATGTCTAATTATCTTTGAGTGTCACAACGTGTATCCTTGCAAATCAAATTAGCTGGTGTAATCAACCACTAAACAAAACTGTTGGTTATTTGCATTATAATCTAAGGTGTAATACCACCAATTTGTTTTTTTAAATTTTGTTTTATTGTAAGTAGGATTTATGGTGACATCATGGACCAATTAAGAGGTTTGATCTGTCTAGGTTTAACATTTAGATAGTTGTCTTGATATGAAACAATCAAGCACAAATCTCCATATATACGAATTTGTAATCAACAGACATGTTTAAAGAAAATAATTTCAAAATGTTTTTTTTTCAAAAATTCATGCCATCTAAAATTTTTACGAAAAATAAATTAAAATTTAAAATGTTAAAAACCATATAAATTTGCTAACAGATGTTAAATAAGGTATAAAATATATATTTTCTGATAAATTATATGCAATTATATTCTAGACTGCACTATGGCGTGGCGTCCCAAAACCACTACTTTTTAAAATAATTTTTAACCCATATATGAGAGAACTTTTTTGGATTATTAGCCAGAAAGATACATCCGTTCAAGTAGTTGATTTTTTTATTTATAGTTTTAATAGAAAAGGACCTAATGGCAACGACTATTGGGGTTTCAAAGTCAGGATGCGGCGCCTCGATTGTAACAATGGAGTCCTCTCTTGTTCAAAAAGCTGGAACTCATATGCACAGTAATAATCTTACAACAATCATTAAGTTCCAAATGAGGGTTTTTTTTAAGTCAAAACTTTTGGAGAATCCGTTTATTTCTGCAAATAAATTATATGATGCAGCATTGATTTTTATGAATAGTTTTTATTCATATGATGAATTTATTCTGGGATTTGCACCTTCCTATTTTTCACTTAAAACCAGTTTATATAGATGGAAAGCAAAAATTTTGCCAAATGGCGACCTTTTAGCAATACGGAATTTTAATTTTAACGAGTTTATTTTACCAAACGGGCATAATACTCTAATTTTTAAAGAACTAGAAATACATAAAATAATAATTATGGGCGATCTAGATTTTATTGACCGGTTTGCTACTGCAAGAAACTAGAAATTAGTTTTAGGCGGAACTTTTAAGTCTTCATCGAATAGTTTTTTTCAGCTTTATATAATTCATAGTGATTTTAATGGACAAAGCTTTCCACTGGTTTACATTTTTTTATCTAGTAAAACAGGGGAAATATATGTTAAAGCTTTTGCAAATTAAAAAAAATCAGTTACATCGTTTTGGAATAATCTTTAATCCTGATAAAATTCAAGTTGACTTTGAGATAGCGACGTTTAGTGCTATAAGAATTGTCTTTTCCGATGCAAGTATATCTGGATGCTATTTTCATTTTGGACAGGCAATATGGAGAAAAATTCAAAAACTCGGGCTTGTAACATTGTATAATAATGATATTTTATTTCGAAATTTTGTTGAAATGCTTTCAGGCATTGCTTTAGTATCTGTAAACGATATTGATTCTGCTTGGGATATAATTAAAAATTATTATAACGTAGAAAATGGATTGGTAGATCGTTTAATCAAGTATACTGAAGATAACTGGTTAAATAATAATAGTTCTTTGTATAGAAGAGAAATACGGTCTCATTATGGAACGCTTAAAAGACGAACTAATAATTCCGCGAAGGTTTTCATAGTAAAATTAATAAATTGATTAATAAAAATAACGCCGGTTTCCTAGAAGTATTGCACTATTTAAAAGAATGCTTAATACTGTCTAATATTGAACTCAAAAGATTGATTGATGGCGGAAAAATAAGCCAAGAAAAAGAGTATATATAGAACAAGACAGTAAAATTTATAGGCTTTGGAATTCTAATAATAATAATTTAATAAATTTAGAAGAGTTATTGGTAGGTTTAGGAAGTTTGATTAATTAAATATTTGATTTTATTTTTGTGTTTTTTAGGAGTTTAAAATTATTTTAAAAAGTAGTGGTTTTGAAACATAACCGCACTATGACGCATAGATTATTTTTAGAAATCATAAATTTTACTTTATTTTATTTTAAAACGAATGTAAAAATCTATATCATTTTTATTAAAAATTTTGAAAAAGTATATAAATTTTTAAATATAACCCATAAAATGTTTAAATTCTTCTGTTTTTTTACAAGCATATATACCTCTACAAATAGTGATTTGAATAGTACTACAGAATATACCATAAGTAATATGAACGGATTTAATTCAAAAAGAAAAATCAAATTTTAGATAGCAACAATAACACAAAGCAATTTTTGGAAAAAGAAAGCTTTGAGCTAGGAGAGATAATTGAAAATACTTTAGATTTAGAAGAAATATTACAGTCTAAAAACACATCAAGTTCTGCTTCACATGGTCCCGTTTTCAATACAATGAATTCTCAGTGCTTAAAAATTATTAATAACTAAGTTCTTGACAATCCGGTTCAGAAAAAACTTAAATTAGACGATAATAGTAAATGTTTGTCTTCTAAAACTGAAAGACAGTCGAAAAAAAAATTTAAACTAGGCAAAGTATGAGTGATTGTAATGCATATTCAACCGTTTTGAATCCCTAAAACAATATGATACAGAATTAAACTCAGATGAGGCGATAAATGATCAAAATGAAAATCTAAATGAGAATGGAAAATATAAAGAGATTAAATCATATAAAGATAAAAAAGACATACTGAATAGGTATTATGATGTTTACGTTAAAAAATTAATATATATATGATATCTAGAAAAAATTTAAATTGGAATTCTGTATTACAGATTGAAATAAAACAATTTAATAATCAACAGCCGACAAATTTGGATATATTCATGTATTTTTGTAAATATGTTCTAGTTAATTTTAAATCTGCATTTGACAAAATTAAAAATGAGCAACTTTCAATTTCAGAAGAAATCTACTAATTTGGAAGAAAAGAAAAAAAAGTTACGCCTGAATTATTAAAATTTAAAGAACGCTTTTATTCAAGAAAAAAAACTTTAAATCCAAGTATTGAGCGTCACATAAAAAGAATAGAGGAAGATTTTTTTTTTAAGAATTCTTTATGTGAGTCTATAAAAGAATTAATAATAGAATGCAATATGTTTATAAAAGAAGTGGTAAAGTATATTTTGTTTTCTAATTTAACTGCTAACCTTAATAAGAGAAATTTAAAATTTATTTATACTGAATGTCTGAAAATCTCACAAAGATTTACAAATATTTCACAAAATCTACAATTAGAATCTATTATTGTAATTATAAAAATGCTGATTGAAAGGTAAGAGAACTTTCGGGTGTTTATAATTAAGCTAAATCGTCATTTATCAATGTTTTTTAATACTGCAAGACATTTATCTACAGACAAAATTTGGATCAGGTCCATTAGACGCCCCGCCGGGGCGTCTAATGGACTTGTTATTTTTTTATTTTTTTAATCCTTAAATGAATCGAAATATAAGGAATGAAATTGCTTTGATGAGCAATTACGAAATCATAATTATGTTATTTAGATATAACATATTAAAAAACCAGCAACTTTGCATTTATTGCAATATAAACATTGCCTTCAAGATTAGTAAACGGCATATAGATGAACTTGTGTGGTGATACATACAATATGCATATATCAAGTGTCAAACAACTCTGTTTATGAGGTATGGTTCAATTCTTTTATCATTTAGAATTAATCTTAAAACAACTCTGAAGTCCATCTATTATTTTTCATTGGGTTTTGGGTTTACATCTATTATAAAGCTAGCCCAGATTAAAAAAAGGGCCGTTATTAGCATTAAAAAAATTATACTCTCAAAGATTAAACAATATTTTGTGGATAATCCTATTAAACTTGGCGGCCCCAACATTATCGTACAAGTCGACATGATGAAATTAAATTTTAATGTAAAAAATCATCGTGGTCGACATATACCTGCGTGCTGAGCTTTAGTAATTGTTGATGCTTCATTTGTTCCAGTTTTGGGTTATTCTGTTATTGTTGAAAATCGTTCTGCAGAAGTATTACTATCTATAATAAATTTGATTGTAATTCCTGGTAGTATTATAGTAACAGATGATTAGAAATCTTATTCATCACCAAACAAATCAAATCTATACCAGCATCAAACAGTTTGTCACAAATATTGCTTTGTTGATCGTAATACTGGCACACATACTCAAAGTGTAGAGTCTTATAACAATAAACTAAAATTGGCAATTAAAAAAACGAAGGGTTTAAATTTAGAACAAAGAAAGTATTTCTACAAGAGTTCTTGTATAGGGAGCGCCACTCGGATGATAAATTTACATCCATAATTAAATTATTTGGGTTTTAATTTTTTTTTCTTTTTACCGGGCGTCTAATGGACCTGATCCGAAATTTTTTAAGCCCTCCCCTTGAGGGTGTTTGATTTTTTTTAACCCCTAATTTTTATGAATACAATGAAGAGAAAAAAATTGAATTATTTTCTGACTTTTTCTCTTCATTGTGTTGATGAAAACAAATTTAACGAGGTTTTTGAAAATAAAAAATTTTATTTAAATATTTAATAATGGTCTAATAAAAATTTCAAATCTTTTTTCACCAAATAGTCTTGAAAACATAAAGATTTTAAATTAAGATTTGATTAATGTATAATTTCTTTTTCTCAAAGAAATTTTCCTCTTTATAGGTCACCAACTTCCTTCAATAGTATTCGTGTGAATGCGGTCTCTGGATCTTTAAAGTTTTTACTATGATTAACTGTATAATGTTTGTATCCAAGAGATGTAAAGCCAATATACCCTTCAATAAAGCTGGCGCCCCTCAACTACGGCTTCAAAGTGGTTAAAAAAATAAAAAAATAGAATTCTGTATTATAGTTATACTTTTTGAAGCTGTATTTAAGCAAAGCGATTTTGTTTTTTTTTATTTTTTTTACCCCTCTATGAACATAAAAAATTTGTTTGAGCCAATTTTTAAGACGAAAAAGCAGCAATAAATTTTTTAAAATCTATTGATTTTTTCAGTCGCACAATAAGATGTGTATGTGGTGCCTACATGAAGCAGGTAGAAAGTACGCTTTTTAAAGAAGGAATTTGTTTTTACTGTGCAAATGGCTGCTACAAAGACAGAGCATTTATACAGGAACAATCCGTCAAAAATTTTGTCTACCTGTTTTCGTCCAATTAAGAATAATATATTGTTGGGTATGAATAACAGCATGGCATGCGTTACTTGCGAAATTTCTGAACCAACATATATTTCTTATAAGGATAAAATTTTAAAAAAAATAAAAAACGAAGTAGACATCTACTTGCATAAAATAAAAGGGCTCGGAAAGTTCATACAAATAGATGAAACTGCAATATGTACGGGAAACGTAATATCACACCCCACTTCTACACATGAGAAATTTCCGGGTACATCATGGCTTGTGGGTGGTATAGATGAAGCAACAGGTGATGTTTTTTTACAAATTGTTCCAGATAGAATAGTACCTACTATGCTTGAACCTTTTAAAAATTTTGTTGTAGAAGGAACCACCATTATAACGGATGGGTGAGTGAAATATCAATCAGACGTACATGGTTTTGGCAGCGATCATCATAAAGTTAATCACAGTGTTGGCTTTACAAAAAATTAAAATCAACACACCAATAATATTAAAAATTTATGGAGCTACATGAAAGCCGATTTACGAACTAAACGTTGCATAACGAAAGTTAATATTGAAAATTTGGATCGGTGCGGTTATTTCCCCTTGGAGGTTGATGCTGCGATCATTTTCCCCCAAAAAAATAATACAAAAAGTAATTAAGAAATTTAATTATTTTCATTCATTACTGTCAGACATTCTAATATTTTGTAAAACTTATTATTTCCAAATCTTTCACGCCACATATATTCAGAAAGATATGAACTTAAATCTGCGTTTTTAACGCCTTTCATTTTTTTAATATAAATTTTATTCTTATTCCATACGATTCAATATGTTGCATGTGGACACCCCTTTCAGAATTAACAAAATTTAAGAAATGGTTTACTGTATAATGCTGAACCCCAAAGCTTGTAATATCCTTATATGCAGCCCGTTAATCTGAATGACTAATTGTACTAGGCAAACATATTCTTCGAACAATAACAAAGAGGAAGGCTTTTACTTTTCGGGCTACAATCTCCATTTGTCCTCTTGCTGGTACATAACCCGTGTCAACTATCCCAAAAGCCTAGACTTGATGTTCTGACGTTCGCCTCCTATTATATTTTTGCTTGTGAACAAACAGGCTTTCATCAATTTGGTGTATAATGTCAGGACCACCAAGAGAAATCGGATTTCTAATAAAGAACTCTTCACATGCATTTCTGAAATTTCTGCACATCTCAGTTACCTTATCGTGTCTTAGTCCCGCTAAAACGCCAATATTTTTATGCGAAGTGTTTATGCTCCAAAGGTAATGGCGTATACTCCCATTTGTAAATCAATTCGTGTTTTTTCAAAAAACGAATTGTTTCTGATTAAAAGTGTAGTTTTAAACTTAAGACATTGTTTGTTTCCGCGCTTCCAAATAAATTTGTCTTTGATCTTACTACAAGCTCGCCAATCCATACCTCTAGAGCAATAAACACAACACACGCTTCTTTTAATTAATCCTTTGGATTTGAGAAAGTTAATAGGTCAATTTATATCAGTACCAATAACTGGCAAAATTTCTTCTCATATAAGGGTAAAATATTAAAAAAAATTATACTGCGGTTTTTTCCCCCTGGAAAAAATAACCACACTGATCCAAGAAAACAGTATGTTTAAAAATAGAATATCTTATTTTACAAAACTTGTCTTTACAACGTACTATTGATACTTCATATTGTACAATTTCCGATCCATATTTTTGGCAACCACGAGCAAAAATACATACTCGAGTCATATTTTAAATTTTTTCATATTGTTCCTCTTGTTGTAACATCAAAAGATAAGGATAAAAATTTTTTTTTGAGTATATCAAAAATCGTGCAGTTTGGATTGTTTTAACCAAACAGAATTTACTTCTGATATTCTCTATAACATACATAAAGCAAAAACTTATACTTTGCAATAGTTGCACCAGAGAATAAAACTGTCACAATTGAAAATAATTTATGTCAAAAATTGGGCAATAAACTAAGTGTAAAACTTTTCATAATGGAATATTGGATTAAAATGGCGAATATTTTTTTGACAATCTTTCCTAGAATATCTATATCCCAAAAGTTTGGTTGTACTACTTACAGGCAGTAAGTTGCACAATGTGTTACAGTTATAAAAGCTACTGTTTTGAGAAATTATATTTTTTTCAAGAAGAAAAGTTTCGTAATCTAGCAATGTCTATAAATATTTTATTGTCAATTCCTATCCTCATAAAATAGCAAAAAACAAAAATTTTACAAACTTTTTAATCCCTTATAGTTGTCCTGCTGAAAATAAATAAACTGTCTTAGGATTTTTATTTAAACTAATGTTTATTTGATATATAATAATTGTAAGGCCAAATTTAAAGAATGAATAAGTAGACTTGGAGGGAGTCTTCTTCGCGAATTTGTCTTCCTTTTAAAAATCGAAAATTAAGGAACAAAAAGAAATAACAATTTAATGCAAAAAACGTATGCAAAGCTTTTATAAAAATTTTCACTATTTTTCCCTAATATAAATCTTTTTTAAAAGTATAATGGATCAACCAATTATCTAAATGGTTTCTAAAAACATCATTGTCTTTTCTCGTGGTACTTTTTATATGGCTTAAAACCCCTAATGTTGATGGGTACCGTCTGCAAACCCAAAACCTTCAGAATGATTTACACTATGATATCTAAAATTTGGGCTTCTAGCAACTGCAGAATAAGAAGAATGCTTGTTGGTGTAAGGAATACTTTCATCTTTTATGTAAGGTATTATAGCCGTTGTTAAAAATTCTATTGTACTGTTATGGATAGTCATAACATTTAAATCCTAAATTTATTAATGTAATCTAAAATAGCTACATTAATAAAAACCAATAAATTTATTTGTATCTTTGTAATGATTGATGTAACAAAGAAAGTTTTAATTTAATCAAAACTAAAAATATAAATAGTGCCACAAAAATACAAGAATGCAATCAATAAACAACTTAATAAAAATGTCATTAAATTTGGTAGTTTAATTGAATACTACCCAAAGAATACCACTTTTCCACTGATTTCTGGCATGTACGATCAATTACTGCACACAGAAAAAATTCTTTCTTTTGTTGGTCTATTCCCCCAGGATCCATTTCGTATCACGGAAATTTGTTTTTTCGCCTTAGATTTTTTTATTTTTAACCCTATTTAATTTTTCACATGAAGAATTTGTTGAATTTTATTAAACAAGAGAAAAAAATAAAATATTGTAAAGAAATTCTCTTATAACTTTAAAAAAAACTTATCTTAATAAGATTATCTCAGGATTCGAACCGAAAAGATGCAACTTTTATTTACATACGAATTTACAATTGGCTGTGATAAGTCTAGCAGGTCATAATTATGAACCGAGCTTTAAAAAAAATAGTATAGAGTACAGATATAAATTAATGTTGATAAGGGCAGAGGAAACAACGGAAAGGACTCGTGATATAATATGCAAAACAATGGGAAATATACTGATGTCAAACTAATAGCGACTCCTGAAATACGTTTTTTAACTGATCAAATTAAAAGACACAGGAATGCTCGACATCTGACATAAATTTCAGAGCTTTCAGATCACCAAATCCGGCGCTACTTCATATTTATGATCAGGTCCCTTTTACACCCTGTCGGGGTGTGAAAGGGACCTGTTTATATTTACGTCTGTTTTTTTATTTTTTAGCCCTTTATGAACGGATTTGAAATTATTAGACAATATTATCAAAGCAGATAAATACCAACTAATAGTCATATTAATGCGGCATGAAATTATTCAAAGATCTTGAAAATGTTTAAAATGTTCAATTTACATGAAATTAAAAGAAAGTAAGCAGCAGGTTGTTGCTTTGTGTGGCGCTGTATGAATAATAGATGTCACAAATACCAGACAACACCTTCCATTGGGTCTACTTCGTTTCTCATTGGGTTTAAAGTATCAGTAGTTCTAATTTTAAAAACAATTTTTCATATTTCTCACGACTTTAAAACTGTAAAGTTCTAAGGGGGGGATGATGTTAAAAAGAGACGCTACTTTATCTTTCCTTCCCCCACCCCACTGAATAACTACGTACAAAATTTTTTAAAGTGAACGTAGTTACTCGGAGGGGGGTGGAAAGATGGAGTAAAGGTAAAAAAGAATTTTTTTTAACCTCCCTTATTGAAAATCTAAAAGAGAAAACTTTATGTTTTTAATTTAGTGAAGGATTTTTCTATAAAATATCAAGACAATAGAATTTTTTCTAAAATTTATATTATAAAAAAAGAAATAAATTGTGTGAGGCGTGATAACAGAATGTGTATTATGGTGGCCGCCACGTATATAGATGGGTATGCTTTCAGATGCTCTTTAAAGTCATGCAGATTAAATGCAAGCCTAAAGAGGGGGTCTAAAATGGCCTCCCCGAATATAGAATTTAAAAATCCTTAGAAGAATGTATTGTTGGGTATATGATTATACCCCCAGAACAGGCCATCGATTTCTGCGATTGTTCGGAGACTACCTATATTAATTCAAAGACCCAATTTTGCAAGTAACATCCGAACAAGATCCAGAAATGGTTAAAATTGGTGGATAAGGTAATAAAATGCAGTTTGACGAAACTGCTATTTGTAATGGGGAGTTAATACCCAACCCATCTAGTACCCTAGACAACAAACCCAACGTAAAATGGTTAGTGGGGGTGTAGAAGAGGTAAATTGTAGAAATTTTGGGATCTAGTCTAATATCTGCCCTAAAAAACACCTGGTCTAATATCTGCCCCAGAATACAGAAAAGAGTGTAATGATAATAGAAAAAAAATTA